AGCGCTCGACGGTACCTCCAACAGGGAGCGCCGGCGGGGCAGCTGGTGCTTCGCCATTGCCAGACGAGGTCTCCATCACGCCAGAGATGGACGTCGAGCTGGGCTCTGCGAAGCGTAGGCTCGAAGACGTCACGGACACGACTGGTCAGGAACTTCGGCTGCGTCAGCTCGAGCGCAGGTGGAGAATGGTGTCGGGCGGGAGCGGAGTGGATGGCCACCAGCGGTCCGGCGCAGACCGAGGAGGACCACGCGACAAACTGTCGCAGTGAACGGCACTGTAGGCGGGTTGGTCCTCACTAACCCATGGTCTCCTTACAAAGTCCTGTCCGAGTAGCGACCCTTAATGTCCGAGGCCTCTCAGATCGCAGGAGGCAGAGGCAACTCTACCGTCTAGCAGTCGAACAGGACCTCGACATCATCGCTGTGCAGGAGACCAAGGTCGAGAGTGAGGACCAGACCAACTTCATGGTTAGACCTTTTTCGGCGCGTTACGAAGTGTGTGTTAGTCACGCGGTTGGGTCGTCAGCGGGCTGTTCGTTGTTAGTGCGCCAGAGTTTGGGTGCAACAGTCGAGGCGGTGACGACATGTGATTCAGGGCGCTTTGTTGTATGTGATTTTTCTCTTTCATCGTATGATTGGAGGGTCATTTGTGTGTACCCCTCCAATAGGGTTGATGAGCGGCGGGAGCTTTTTGATTTCATGCATCAGTATTGCAAAAGTGATCGCCTTATTATTTTTCTTGGCGATTTCAATTGCGTCTGCTCTGCTGGGGACAAGTCCAGCTCAACGCCCTATCGCGATTTAAGCACCGAGAGCCTTCTGAGGTTAATCAACGAGTCCGGCTTTGATGACGTCGGGGAATGTTTGAGGAATGGTCGCGAAATCCAGTACACCCATTTCCAAGGGTCGAGTCACGCCCGTCTAGATCGAGCGTACGTATCTTTAGATTTGATACCATTATGTTTTGAATATCGCGTGCACCCTGTTTCCTTTAGTGATCACTGTCTAGTTTCTTTTTGTATGCGTAGTAAATCCCAAGCCAGGAAAGTCTTCAGCTGGGAATTATCGAAATTGAACGCGAAACTGTTGGAGGATGACGTTTTCACTGCCGAAGTGCAGGCCGCAGTTGAAACACTGGAGAGCCAGAAAAAATTAGGGTATGGTGTGAGATGGGAGCTTTTTAAGCAGGAAATAAAAATGAAAGCGTTAGAGCGGGCAGGCGTAATTAAAAGCACTGAAAGGAGCAACGAAATGTTATTGCGTAATAATTTGCGGATACTGCTAAAGGAAGAGACTAAAATGCCTGGGGCATACAAAGATGATATTTCTTGTGTGAAAGATAAACTCGAGATTCTAGATCGGGAACGATATTGTGGGGCGATTGTTAGAGCCAGAGCCGAAAGATGGTCAACAGGCGAAGCGCCAACTAAGCGTGCGCTGAGCCTCGAGAAAAGATATGCTCGGCGTAACGAGATAACGGGGGTAGAGAGGAACGGATCACTTACGACCGATAAGGAAGAAATCGAACTCGCATTTTTCGAGTATTACAGTAGATTATTTGCGTCCTGTCCAGTAGATGACCAGCTTTTTAAAGATGAATTTTTGGGTTTCATGCCGCGCATAGATAACGAGAATCGACCATCAGCGTAGAGGAAGTGGTCTTTGCAATAGAAGCCCTAAACCCGGGAAAGTCCCCTGGCCCAGACGGCCTAAGTGCAGTTTTTTATAAGACTCAGAAGCACGAGATTGCCGCAGTCCTAGCCAAGGTATTCAATGAAGCATATGATTTGAATATGTTGCCTCCATCTTTTATGTCGTCGCACACAATGTTAATTCCCAAAACAGATGACGCAGTTAAGTTGCAGCACGTCACAGCGTATCGGCCGATCAGTCTGACTAATGTCGACTACAAAATTTTAATGAAGATCTTAGCAAGGAGATTGCAATCTGTAATATCGGAAATAGTGGGGCCCCATCAAACTTGCGGCATTAAAGGAAGGACTATTTGCACCAACATCCACAAAGCACGCAGTGTTCTGGAGTGTTGCGACGCGATGCGTACTTACGTTGCGATGCTCCAGGTAGATTTGGAAAAGGCTTTTGATCGCGTGCCTCACGACCTGCTTTTAACCATTCTCGATCATATAAACGTCGGCGCTGTTATCCGTGAAGGTGTCAGCATGGCGTACAACGGTTGCTCGACGAGACTTATGGTGAACAAGTCGGTTGGAAAACGTATAAAAGTGAATCGATCCGTCCGCCAAGGGTGTCCTTTGTCACCACTTCTTTTTTGCATTTACATAGAATCCCTTTGCATTAGTATTTTTAAAAACAGTACTATCAGTGGTTTTCAGCTTCATGCGACCGAAGTTAAAGTGTTAGCGTATGCTGATGATATTGCAGTGTTTTGTTCCAACCGCGAGAGTATTGTTCAAGTCGTTCACACGCTTAAACGTTATTGCGAAGTCAGTGGCAGCTCTGTTAACTGGGCCAAGTGCCTGGGATTTTGGCATGGAGAGTGGAGCTCTACTCCTAGTTCGTTTGCCAACATGCAGTGGGTGACCACCCCCCTAAAATATTTGGGAGTGCCTCTAGAAAATTATCGCGATAGCGAACCCTATTGGCGACGGCAGGTAATGGAGCTTCGCGAAAGAGTAGAAAAAAGTCGGAGGTATGATCTGTCTATTTTTGCACGGGCCACAGTTTGCAATTCGTTTTTTGTCAGTAAACTGTGGTACGTTCTACAACTTTTGCATTGTTCGCGGGTAAATGTGCAGAAATTGCACCGGGTATTTGCAGTGTTTATTTGGGGTTCCACGTGGGAGCGATCGAGTATACGAATCTTTTCCGGCGCGTACGCAATGGGGGGCTTAGTTTGACGCATTTGTTTTTACGTCAGGTTGTTAATCGGTTCATGTATTTTCGGGACATAAGTGACCCCTTTTTGCGCACCGTTTGTCAAGTGAGAGTTGCAAGCAGGTTGCCTGAGTTGATTGTTTACACGTCATCGATGTCGGGTGGTATTCACGGATATTTAAAGGAAGTCGTTGCCTCATGTAAATTTCTGTTATCTCGTTTTTCAGTTGAGTATTTGAGTGAGGTTCCTCGGAAAAGATTGTATAAGGCTGTGTGCGATACTGTGTTTCCTGTACCTCTATACAGAGCCTTATACTGTGCAGGCCCAGGGCAAGATGTCTTGAAGCGCGTTAAGCGTATGGTGGTGCCCGCAGGCACCAAGACTTTCTTCTTTACATTACATTCAGGTACACTGCCGGTCAAGACATGGCTAAACGAGAGGGGACTTTTTGTACCGTGGGGGGATCACTGCTTTTTATGCAAGAAGCCAGAGACGGTCGAACACGTGTTTCTTGAGTGCTGGGATGGGGTCTTCTTCTGGGACGTCCTCCAACGTACCCTGAAGAAGGACCTCCCCCTGGATGCGCATGGAATCCGTTATCTATCGGTTAAAAACGAGGAAGGTTTTCCCTTTGACCTGGTTATGCTGTTGGGTCTGCACAGTATTTGGAAGTCCCGAATGGCTCTACACAACGCTGACAATAATGTACGGGAGGCGCGGGAATATTTTCGTGAAAGTGTATCTTTGTTAGTTGAAGTCAGCAGAGCACAGAAGTGCGAGCCTGAGTGGCTTCCGCGCATTGAGGCACTTTTGTCCATGAAACAATTTTAGCCTCCGACGCCAGTCACTTCCGACTGGTTTAGTTTAGCCTTGCCCTGCGTCCTATGGTTTGAGCGATATGCCTGCCTATTTGACAATGTAAAAAAACCCGGCAATAAAGAAAAAAAAAAAAAAAAAAAAAAGATCGGTGGCCGAGTGGTCTAGCGCACACCAGCTCGGAGCACGTGGAGCGAAAGCTCGCGCTGCAGAACCCAGGGATCCTGGGTTCGAGCCCCACCCCTGCCCGTTTCGATCTGGATGAGCATCGTACCGGCGTGCGGTCGTGTATCACTACTGCGTGCTGCACGTTAAAGACCCCAGGCTAGCGGCTGTACCGCACTGGCTAAATTTCTCATCTACAGCTGGGAGACTCGTCGCCCCTGTGAGGCAGACCAAGTTCTAGGCTGTATAAACACACACACAACCCAATTTTTTTTTTTTCAACTAGACTACAAAGGTTGTTGCCCGGCGTCGCTCGAAGCACGGTTACCATGGCAACCTCCCAGGCCCAAAATGGAGATCACTATCAGCGCTTCTGACGTCGTGCATCTAGATAATTTTGCGTCGTGTCGCTACTCTGGCAGCTACGCTGCCATATAGAGTGGCTCTAGACACGGCCACTGGCACCGCCGTCAGGAATGAGCTTGTGAACAGCGTTTTCAAGTGAAACTTCAGGATAACGAGAGTCTTCAGTGCATTAAAGAAACAGTTTTAATAAAACCTAAGTGAGGTTTTATTAATACCTGGGGACAATTTTGTCATTTTCAAACCGAACATTCAGCTTGTATGCTTTCAGTGCCACCATCTGCTCCTGCAGGACCACAATCCTGTCGAGGCGTTCAACAATAGCTTTCTGGGTCTGGATTATCTCGTGGCTAGGGGCGTCCCTGCTACCTGCACATCAGAGAAAAATGATTTCTTTGTGATTGAAAACCTAAAATCCTTGCACCACTTTCACGCTACTGTTGTGATACTTGTATGGAAAATTAATGTCCAGGTGTAGCTGTAGGAAGCATGCATGAATGAGCAAAACAAGTAGTTAATGAGATAATTGGGGGATCAGTGGCCGAGTGTTAGTGCATTGCAGCTCAGAGGCTGTAGATTACATGGCAGATTGCCTTGGCATGGAATTTACAGTGGATCTCTCTTCTCGCACATGTTTTTTTGCTGCATATTCAATCTAGTATCATTTTTGTATTCAGAGTTAAATTTGTATTGCTGCATGCTGCAATCCAAATCTAGCAGGACTATACTCACGTTTGTGGTTAGACCTGCGGCTACCTGAAGTGCACGGCAAGGCCTCGCTCTCCTGGAGCCCACCTCTGCTTGCACCGTGGACATCTGAATAGAAATAACAATAGAGCTGAGTACTAGGAAAATCTGCTGTAGGGGTATGTGGTCGGCTGTCCAGCAAGCATGATTGTTCAACAAAATCTTAAGTCGCGCACCTGCATCACCCTGCGGGCGTTCCGGAATATTATCAGCCTGGCTGGAAGGCAAAAAAGATTTAGTTCTTATTAGGTAATGAAACAAGTATATTCACTATGTGCAATGTTATGATTGATAAGGCAGCAAACCTTGTATGTCGTGGCCTCACTGAACTAGGCCTGCTTGGTTCTGCAGTAGTATCTTGAACACAGATTAAGAAACATGTTGTACTGACCCAGAAAACTGAATCTTCGGTAAAAATATAGTACACTTCTGTCTTCTGAAAAACCCTCAGACAAGGGAAGCGAAAAAAACGGAACAAACACAACATTAGATGATGGTACATCGTTGTGCTTGTCCTGTTTCTTCAATTTGCTTGCATTGAGGTTTCTCAGTGTAACCGTTCACCAGCTTGCCTGTGCCTGAACTCTTATTACCGTTATGCCCTGTTTATGCAAATAATTTAGTCCCTCGTCGAGACCATTTGGATATAGAGCTATTTGATTAGTCAAGCTAGACTGAAATTTTTAGGCCGTGCTCCCAAACCAGGGGTTTGGTTTACAGGATGCCAAGGTGCAACATGACTGGTTAAATGAACCAGACCAGTATCTATTATGAACTCACCGAATGAAAGAACTAGGTCTACTGATCTGGGCCTAGCAGCGTCCGATGTTATGGGAGTGCCTGGAAAATTGAAATTTTAATTAGGAAACATACTACTTATGAAACATTTTTTTTGTTGTTTTAGTGTGGTAATTTGGGTTTTTATAGAAAGGTGACATAATTTATATTGGAAAGATAAAGTAAAACCCTCTCTGACTAAGCTAGGGTCCAGGAATGGAATTAGTATAATGAAAGAGCATAATAATTATGAGATATCCATTACTGAAGGAATGCTAGTGCCTTGCCGAGCCTCCTGTTAACCTACCGGAAAGCGGCAGGCTGAAGGGCTCGCCATTAGGTACCTCTACAGGAACACCAATGTCGAACGCGCCTGGGATGCCAATCATGGCCTCCACATTCAGAAGTCCCACGACCCTTTCCTCCATGTCGTTCAGGGGCTTGTCTCCTACGCCGCCTCTAGTCGCACACTGACTGCGCTTGAGGGCTGCACCTGTGGTTAGTATAAAATAACATTGCACGGATCTCGTCAGAAAAACGAGATATACATCGCGCGACTGATCAGCTGCTCCTGGATTTTCTTCGCGTAACAGACTGCCACTGTACTGTTGGTGAGTTCGAATGTTGGTTAAAACCAGTGACATCTAACTGCGCATTATCTCGTGCACGACACTGGTATGAGCGAAATTCAAACGATTGCACATTTCATTACACGCTTGGGCTGAAGTCCTATGATGCTGACAGAAGACAATAACCTTCTGCGGCATTCGGGAACATAGCACTCGTCGCCCTTCGGCAACTTCACATCTTCAAGACTGCCGCCAAAAGTAATAAAAACTAACTTGAAGGAGTAAAATGTGCTCGCTCGTAGGCTCACCATTCGCGCCAAACGTTTCGCGTTACGACGCATATCGCAACAACTTAGTTCGCGAACTGTGAAAATGGGTTATCTTACTTCGCTTCTTCTGGGAACTCTTGTAGTCAGCCCATTTTTTTCTTTACATCGGCGATCTCTCTTTTCACCCCAGACACAGCAAACAAGTCATTCGTAATCCTCTGCCAAGCCCGCTGCTTGGCGGCCGATCCATGGGGCCCGTCTCCTTTCGCGTCGATCGCGATTCTATGCGCTTCATACCCAACAACCAAGGTCGATAATTCGACCTCTGAAAAGTTCTTCAACGGAGCCTTCTTGTCGGCGGGCGGTGTCGACATTTTCCGGTGTCTATCGGTTCGACCGGCGAGAACGAATGCACGTGGCAGACAAACGCATGTGTGCGGACAAAGCGTCCCCTGCGGTTGACATGGCAACGCTTCCCTCTCGCAGCTCACGTTGGTCGCGAGACACCGGAAGTTTCTCTCTTTCCCTCACTTTTTTTTGTCGTAGGATTTTCGTTCGTAAGTAGCCCTTCGAGAATACCGATTTCGGCATGTCGTAGCAACTTCTTGGGATACGAACTTCTTAGAAAAATTGTCTTAAGATAAGACGTTCTTCGTGAATCCGGCCTCTGGTGCTGACGTAAAATCTGCGTATTAGTGTGATTTAAATGTGTTTCTTGGAGGCTGAGTGCAATGGGTCTCAGCTCGTCCATAAAATAATTTACGTCATCAATATTTCTGATTAAGCCACGGCAGTTCCACTGCATAAAGTGGAAATTGGTCATTGTTTTAAAATTGAGTTAAAATATGAATAAAGAAAAAAAAAACTGGGAGAATTAATAAAAGTTCTAAAGCTGCCGCATGTGGCAAAAATTAATTCGTAATGTCATGTTGGTGGGATCACCGGTTTTTTGCTTTTGTTTTTACTCTTACTAGTCTGCCACTCCATGTCGTCTTGGTCAGACGCAGGAGTGGAGACTTTACACTCATCCATGGCCTCAGTTTCCTGAGACGAGGCTTTTCCTGCAGGGTTCTTTAAGTTTGGGCAACGGGGCGCAATGCGCCGTCCACGACCAGACCCAGCCAAAGGGGCAGACGAGGTGCTGGGCGAAGCGTCGCCCAAGTCCACCCGTTCCTGTCCCTTACGCGCTGCAGGTGCGGCACGAGAGCTATGCCGCTCCTTCGATGATGCTCTCTCCAGGGAGTGTGGGCGAGAGTGTCGACCCTTCTCCCTGGAAGGAGATCGTGGAGGAGGGACGGTTGCGGCAGCCACCGGCCCCTCCTGGGTTTGGGAAACAGTCTGAGAAGACCCAGGCTGTTGCCCTGTTGGAGCGCGAGGGTTCGCACTCTGGCTGGGAGGGTCCGTAGACCGCCCAGCCGAGATTGCACGCCCCGGAAGCTGAATCTTCAGCTGGGGCGTGGGGGACTGCCGTGGCTTCCCATAGTCCACAAAGGACGTCTGGGTTGCCGCTGCAACCTTCAGTGGTGCAGGTCCCCGCTGCACCACTTGGGCGTAGCCGCCCTTCTGCACGAATGCGAAGCGACGGCGTGCATCAGGGAAAGAAAGGTTTTCCTTAACTTTCAAGGTGAGGATCTCTTTCTCGTCTTTCCATTTCTTGCATGATCTGGAATATGCTGGGTGAGGTTCTGAGCAGTTTACACAGTGTGGGTCGTTAGAACATGCATCAGCTTCGTGGTCGGTTTTGCTACACTTCGCACAGGTGGCCTTTCCACGGCAGCTCTGAGAGCCATGGCCAAATCTCTGGCACTTAAAACATCTACGGGGGTTGGGCACGTAAGGTCGAACCCTGCAGCGTAGATACCCGGCCTTCACAGCCTCAGGAAGGATGGTCGATTGGAAGGTGAGTACAACATGTTTGGTCTTGAGTTCGTTCTCGTCACGACGTATGGTGATCCGCCTTGCAGCTGTGACACCTTGGTCAGAGAGGCCTTGAACAATTTCACTCTCAGGGCTGTCAAGAAGGTCATCATCGGAGATAACTCCTTGAATGCTGTTTAACGTTCGGTGGGGAGAGACAGAGACGTCATAACCGGAAATAGATGTTAAACCTAGTAGTGCAGTACTTTGCTGATTCGTTTCAACCTCAACAAGTAAATCGCCGGAGCTCATTTTCTTTGCCTTGTAGTTTTTCCCAATTGCACCTTCAAGTACTTTTGCAACTAAGAATCGGGACATCTGTGAGAGCTGTTTATCACCTCCAGAATGAATGACTAAAAACTTGGAGAATCTTGGAGGAAGGTCATGTGTCTTTGCAGTGATGGCTTCGCTGCGGACCCTTTTCAGGGCCCGATCAGAGGTTTTTTGACTAGAACCCATAAAGATGGAAGAGAAGTTCAGTGCCCGGGCGCACCACCCACCACGGAGCCCAACGAGGGGGTAGGTAATGTGCCATAACAAGAAAGGCTTGGCTGACACAATTACTCTACCAGTGCTGCCCGGGCACTATAACCGAGTGTGGATGCAGGGACAGGACCTGTTTCCACTCAAGGTTAGCCCTTGCCGCCTAAGAAGGTGAAAAAGGAAGGAAGAGAGTGCAGAAGAAAAGAGAAAGAGGTGGGAGGAAAAGTGAAAGGAGGAAGAAGAGGGTGGAAGAGGCGACTGACTGAATCATCCTGGTCGGGCCAAGCCAGGACACCCGTCTACGAGAAGCAGGGGTCGAAGCAGTGTATTGCCTCGCCCGGGGGGCCCCGAAGGGTCCAAACATACCCAGGGCTCAGCTCAACCACCAGGGTCACCTTTTCCCCGGACACGGGTACGCCACGCACAGCCAGACGTGGGTAGGCGAACCCACATGGCTCGGGGTTCGTAGTGACGCCACTCACCAAGCACCTACAAAAGTAGGTGCCCCCTGCGTGCGGGTATGGTGGCCCACGTGGCTGGGGTCCGTGGTGACGCTACTCACCAAGCACCTAGCACCTAAGGTGCAGGCGCCCCCTGCGGGGCTCGGGGTCCGTGGAGGCGCCACTCTCCAAACACCTGCTTTCAAAGGTACCCCCTGCGGGGTGTACGTAAGCCGCGACACTCGCGTACTTACCTCGTAGGGCCCATCCCACTTCGGAGCCAGCGATGCTGCGAAACCGCAAGCTGCATTACTCAGTGGGTGCACTTTCCTCAGAACCAGGTCTCCGATGCTGTACTCCAGGTGGCGATAGCTCTTGTCGTACTGCGCCGCCTGGTCGATCCTTGCGGCATCAAGGTTTTCTCTAGCGTCGTGCAACGCGCCCGTCAAGCGGCTTTTGAGCCCGGCCGCGCACGTAGAGAGGGGGCGACCCGATCCCCCGTCGCTGTGTCTTAACCCGTTCTCTAGTGGAGACGGGAGCTCCTTACCCAGGTTCAGGAACGCTGGTGTAAAGCCGGTTGATCGGTTCACTGTCGTCCGAATGGCGAAGCCCATCTCGACGATGTGTTCGTCCCAGTCCCGGTGTCTCTCCGTCAGCGCGATCAGCATGCTCTTCAGGTTGCGATTCACTCTCTCAGTGATATTGGCCTGAGGATGGTACGGTGTCGTACTCTTGTGCTTAATATTGAGGGCCAAGCAGGAGTCCACGAAGACTTTACTAGTGAAATAACTAGCATTATCGCTGACGAGACACTTGGGCGTTCCGAAACGCAGGAAAGTGTCTAACAACTTTTCCTGGATTCGCTCCGAGACCAGTTTTCTCAAGGGGTACAGCTCCACCCACTTCGAGAAATGGTCAGTGATCACCAAAAGGTACTGATTTCCCCGAGGACTCCTCGGCAATGGGCCAACGATGTCGCACGCGACTATCTCCCACGGGTAGTGACTCATCACCGGCTGCATCAACCCCGGAGGTTTCCCGCCTCTCGGTTTCGCCTTCTGGCAAGCTGGACAGCTACGACAGTACCGAAATACGTCCTGCCTCATTCCTGGACAGGTCGCGACGCGACATAACTTTTGGCAAGTCTTGCTGCCGCTTCCATGACCGGCCAGAGCCGAGTCGTGGAAGTATCTGATAAACTTCCTGCGTAGCTTCCTAGGAATCACCACCCTGAAGGGAGGGTCGTTCCCCTCCTCTTTGTCGATCGCGGGGATATAGCGGAGGAATAACCCATCTTCGCCCAGCAGATACGAATCGAACGGCGCGCCGATTCGTCCGTCAGTGTTCCCGATGTCAACCGCAATTTCCGCAAGTTTTCCCAACACCCGCTGACAAAATCCATCTGCTCCCTGGGCCTCGACAAGCTCTTCCTTGCTTACCACTTCCCCCCCAAGCCACGATCCTTTGCTCCCTCGTAGAGTGACCCACCGCTGCTACGAACTCCGGCTGCTTCCCCTCCTCCCAGCCATTCTCTCGCTTTCCCGCGATCGCGGGGACTTCACCCCCGCGCACGGCGGTATTCTCCCTCCTCTCCCGCGCTCTTCGCCCCCACCGGTCGCGTGGTGTTGAGCTGAACTGACAGTGCTTTGAAAACTGCGACACCGACACGATCGGCCTTCAAACAATCGGTGGAATAAAAATTTTTCAACGCTGTCTACTTGCCTGCCGCCTGCTATGTGATCGCTTCATTTCCCCAAAATGCCCTGTTATTTTGAAAACAAATCGGGTGTCTGGTAGCGGCTGTTTCCAAGTTCCAGGCATCAACAATTATGCTCAGAATGGTCGTTTTAATGCTTCGATTTTTTAATCTTTGGTTTTCTGGAATATTTTTATTATACTTCATCGGCGGGTGAGTAGGCATGACATTTTATTTTACTATCAGTAATGTGAGCTGGTCTTTCGGCAGTTCTAATTTCAAAAACCAGTCTGAACGTTCACGACCGTAGCTGTGACCATTTCGAAAATCGCTTTCCGTAACTACGCAGCAAAAACATTAACCGAAAATATTTTAGCTGCACGCCAGCCCTAA